TGTCTCTCTGATCTACCAGCATGGACCCCAATAACTGGCCTCAGGTTTGATTTTATTAATAAGAACCTTTAAGATTCATGCTACACTGAGGAAAATTCAGGGGCATTAGGCCAGTGTGTAGAAGAGGACCTGGATGTCGGTTGAAGCACTGGGGGACCATTGGGGGGGGGATGACACAGGAAGGCAGGTAAGGAGGAGGAATTTATGCTGGAGGGGGAAGAAGGAGGAGGGGTAGAGATAAAGGAGTGTTGGCCACTGAATGGAACATGTGACCCCACAGGAGGGGGTTGGGTAAGTAGAGTCCTGAGGAAGTGGAAGAGGAGCCAGTGTCTCAGGTGCCAAGGTCAGGGCATAATTTTCAGGGTCCCAGTTCCCAGATAGGCGGGAACCTGGAGGCGCCATGACCCTAGCCAACAATACCAGTGCTGTGGGACACTGGCCTCTGTAGGGAGGGCAGGAATGCAGAACCCAAAAACCGTGGGCATGGGCATAGGGCAGTTCTGTCTAATTATTTCCAAGCCAACAAAAACTTTCAAGATTTTGGAGGATGGAAAATTGTAACATTTAGCATACAGTAGCCAGGCCTTAGTGCTCAGAGAAATCAAACGTTCAGGACAGATGGTATCAGATAGACCCAATTTGAATAGATTTTGTAAGAGACCCCACAGGGGCATTTGGGGATCTGACTTTGAATGGCAAGTGCCCATTTCTCAAATCTATGCTGAGGACCCAAAGCCTAGCATAATGCATTCACTGTGGTAGGTCTTGTGTCAAAAAATGGGTGTGTGTGGAAATTCCCTTCAACAGAACATCTTCTGGAGAAGGGGTCTTACGGAACAAAAGCAGCCCTTCACTCTGGAACATGGGGGTGGGGCTGGCGTGGCTGCGTTTTTTGGTTGGACACCCTGAAAATTGAAGAGGCCCTGGGCCTCCTAGGCAATGACTTGGAAAGGACAACTTACCCACTTGAAAGCAGATCTTAGTCTGTTGGAGAGCAGGTGTGGGGGAGAGGGGTGTTTTCCCACCATATGGCTGTGAAGGTCTAGACTTGACTTTACAGGCTCCATCTTAGGGAAAGGGCCACCATCTCAGACCACCTGCTGTACTCAGTTCCAGGAAGAACCTCAGGAATGTGCCATGACAACTCAAATGTATACAGAGCAGTATCCTCCTGCAGACATCCTGTCTGACGTTTATGGCCCTTGAAGATATCTAGAGAATCCTGCTGAGCAGTCCAGATAATCCTGTTCAGCGGGTTGTGGTTCCCCGCCCAAAGTCTAACCCAATGGTTTCAAATGGGGTTTTGCACCCAAAGTCTAGACCAATAGTTTCAAAAAATCACATTGCCCCTTCTGCTCAATCCCAAGTTGCCAATTCCAGGCTTGTGGGTTTTCCCTGTAAAAACTCTTACACCTGGGCTCATGTCAGTCACATTTTCTTCCATGCTCCTGGGGTTGAACCTGAATAAAAGGACCCTTATGTGCTTGCATCAGAAACTGGCTCCTTGGTGGTCTCTGGAGGTTTCTCGAAATGGGTACAACAATGGCCCGGGGCTGGTGGGGGAAAAAAATCAACCCCTCTTGGTGGAACCTCTAGATGATAAATTTTTTTGCACCCCAATAGCGTTGGGTTTTTTTTTTTTGTTTTGTTTTGTTTTGTTTTTGTAGTGCTCTTGCTCCAAAGGAAAAGTCACGAC